TAGAAGCAAATCACTGAGACTTAAGTCAGACATCTATTTCATTATCGAGGCATTCGCATATAAAAGTGTCAGATTTTAATCTGTCTTATCAGTGTGGCTACAACACCTTCAGTATAGTTTCAGCACAACAGCAACACATTTTTCTACTCATGTCCAACTTCTTTAACAGTGTTTCCAAACAACTGTACAAGAGCTGCATCAAAATACAGAATAAAAATAAATTTGTGTAAATCTAGATCCATGTGATCAACAAACAAAATGTAGAATCTGACAGACATTTTTACTTAGAGTAGCTGCCAGTTTGTCATCCTTTCTGATGTTTAAACAAGGGGGGGTTACCTTCTCAAATCCACACAACCGATAGCTCAAGTTGCAGAAAGATATCAGCTGAGGACAGCACCACTAGACTGTCAGGTGAGTTTGTCCACTATCAGGAGTCAAAGGCTGCAGAAAGACGTACTGTTCCACGTTTATTACATCAGTATTAGATCCCAAGACTTGGGAAGTGAAGTCTGTTTCCTCTTACTTGAATCTGAAGTTTATCCTAACTTCAGATTCAGATTCAGAGCACACCCGACCTTCTTTGAAAGTTAGATTTATTTATTTATTTTTTTGGAGAAAACAGATACCCACCCCCTTCAGCAGAGAAATGTGAAAACAGCCTGTTAATAATAACAAACTGCACATCCACAACAGTCAGTACAGTGGAAGGATGATATTTATCGGATATAAAAACAAGAAAAAACACATTCTGAGTAGAGTGGGTCTTTAATAATCAGCTGATGATTGATTTTCTGTTGACTGATTATTGGAGCTCTACAGTGGACCTCTAAAACACACAAGCAAAGGACCAATACTTGTTAGCAACATCAATTAACTGTTAGATCTGGTACCTTCAGAGGAAATGCTTATGATATGAAAGATCCTTTGAACTAGACTAAAAGCAACCAGGACCTGGATCCACAGAGATCAATGTAATCCTTCAGAAAGCTGAAAACTGGAGACGACAGAACAAAGAGGTTTCACTAAATGTTAAACAAGTGAAGGATAGTATATCAAAAGTCTCAAGTCCATCAGCGCAACGTCTTTCTCATCACTTCCAGATGCCTTCAAAGTCCAGAAAATTTTTGATAAAGACTGAGCTGTGTGATCTTCTGAACCTCCAGGATACATGAGTGGTTTACCAGAATATAGTCCATTCAGCTTTTACTCAAAGTTAAAATCATATTCAAAGTCCAGGGAGGTCATGTCAGAGGGAAGGCCTAGGGTTTCAGGGGTGACCTCTGCCACCTGAAGATGTTCCTCAATGAGTACCCCCTCCTCTGGCTGTGAGCCAGAGCCAGGATCGGACATGGCCAGCCCCTTTTGGTCTGAAGTTGCAGAGTCAGAGTCTCCTGAAGCCAGCTCAGGTTCTGGCTCAGATTGGCTCTGCTGCTGTTGCTGCTGCTGTTGTTGGCGCCGGGTTTGGTATCTGGTTTGGCGGACAGGGCGGGGGGCAGGTGGGGGTTTCTTTGTTGGAGTTGTCTTGCCTCTAGTTTTAGGGCCTGGTTTGGGTTCAGATTCTGGAGCCGTGTCAGACTGGGTCTTTGGAGAAGACTCGGGCTGAGTGTCCTGGTCTGGTTTGGGTACAGGTTCTGGAAATGTGTGAGGCTGAGTCTCTGGATGGGACTGGGTGTCCAGGTTTGGTTTGGGTTCAGACTGTGCCTCAGTTTGGATTTCAGGAATGAATTTGGACTGGGGCGTTGCGTTTAGCTCGGCAAGCCTGGACTGTGGGGCCATGTGGGACTCAGATTTAGCAGTCAAGGACTGGTTTTGGGGTACACTCTGAGCCTCAGACGGAGCTGGTAAAGACAGTTTTTGTCTGGCCATTTGCGAAGTAGTTTCAGATTCAGCCACTTCTGGTGTTGAGGCTGGGCTATGCTGTAATGACCAAACTGATGAAATTTGAATGTTACATTTTGGTTGAGTTTGGGGACCTTGTGGAGAACTATCTGAGTCATGTTGTAGAGATTTATGGACCTCAGCTGGAGGTTGGGACTGGGTTTTGGACTGGGGGAGAGGCTGTGGTTTTGGTGTTTGCGGGGCTGGAAGTGGACTTTTATCAGCACTCCTCCCAAAAGCTCTGGTATCTGTTGCTGGTTTGGTGATGGAGGAAGGACCTGACTGACTAATACTGCTGTAAAAGATTCCAAATAAGTCCTGGGCTTTGGCTGCAGCCAAGTTACTCTTAAGTTTCTCAGACTTCTGAGCTCCATCACCCATATTCATGAAAGGGGGAGGCTTGACAAACACTGTATGAGTCTGCTCACTTTCTGGAACACCGGGAGCTGCCACATCAGACACAATCTTTACCATTGCTGGTGGTGCAGGTTTAGCCTTGGATGGCTCAGGAGTAGCTTCAGATGGTGGAATGTTTGCCTCAGACAGCACAGGCTTTGTCTCAACAGGAGCTGGTTTAGAAATCACAGGTGAAGGTTTAACCTCAAAAGCTGCAGGTCTAAACACCGGTGGCAGAGGGTTAGCCTCAAATGGCTTGGGGACCAAAGGTACAGGCCTAGCCTGGAACGGTCCAGGAGGGTCAGTGATTACTGGCAGTGATTTTGGAGGAGACTCCAGTAAACTGGTGTTTTGGGGTCTGATGGAGAGAAAGGTATTCAGAGGTGCAGGTTTACCCATCATAGCAGTTTTCCTCAGGACTGCAGTGGGCGCTGGGAGGTTGGGCCGGATCCTTCCCCGGTTGGCACCATTGGACACCCATGGAGGAGGCATGTTGTGGTGGCCCGACAGCTTCTGGGCAATCTCCTTAGCAACAGCCATCGACTTTGCAAAAGAATCCTCAACTGGGACTGCTTGCTGCTGGCTTACAGCTGCTTCGTCATCCTTGATGAACTCGGCAGCGACTTTCTCTGCCTCCTTTGCCAGCACGTTCTCCTTTTTCTTCCATGTGAACTTTCCGAATGAAGTGGTTGTGGCCACAGGTGCTGGTTTGCTGGCTTCTAGGCTCTGCTTGCGAAGCTTGGCCCTCATAGCTGGACTGGGTCCACAGAAGATTTTGGGTGGGTCATAGGGTTTTGGTGGGGGTTCAGGCTTGTTGACCTCTGGCTTCCCAGCTGGTTTCGCAGACTCAGGCTTTTTAAAAGCTTCCTTCTCAGCCTTAGATTTCCTTTCATCTTGCTCTTTGTCATATTTGGATCTAAAGTCAGAATATTTACTGTATTTATACTTGTTCTCGTCACCTCTCGGGCCGTATTTAGGATAGTTGTCATATCCGTCATCACTGTCTCTACGATATCGGTAACGATATTCTTCATCTCTGCTGTATTTGTATCGGTCATCCTCTTCTCTTCTGCTGTATTTGCCCCTCTCCTCTTCCTCTCTGCTGTTTCTGTATTTATCATCCTTCTTGCTGCATTTATATTTTTCCTCTTCATCTTTTTTGCTGTAAGAAGGCTTCTCCTCTCCTAGGCTCTTGACATTTTTTAAGTCCTCCCCTTTCTTGGTTGGATTCAGCTTATCACCCTCTTCCTCATTTATAACTTTTGATTTCTCCTCATTCTGAACAGCGTCATCTGCTTCATTCTTTTTCTCTCTGTCCTTTTTGTCCTTTTTGTGTTTGGATTTTTCCTCCTTGTCTTTGCTGCCTTTTTCCTCATCCTCGTGTTTGCGTTTCTTTCCACTTGGCTCTAAGGCCAGTCCTGCCTGGCGGTCCAGATTCCTCCTCTGCTCATAGAATGGATTCTCATACATTTGTTTCTGGTGAAGAAGGCATGAATAGAAAATTTAGAGACAGAACATCAGCCTGACAAACACCAACAATTTGAGGTGGGCCCATTTTAGCTTACAGCATGTATATCAGGAACAGTACATGTCAAAAATATGTTTGAGGCATTTAGAAACGGTCTCCTTTGCAGAGTTTGACAAGTTGATTTCTGCGATGTCACTATTCTTAAAAAAAAAAAAAAAACATTATTAGTGGATACTGATTAATAGGATCGCAGGTCTAATAGCTGGTTGACAAGAGTGGATGTCTACGGCACACAGCAATAGGCTGGATCAGGGTCTGGACTCACACACATAAAGATGAGGACGCTACGTTCACTGGGGCTGCTGGTCTTTGGACGCGGTTTGTGGGGGAACAACACAAGCATAGGCCTCATCCTTTAAACAGATGTTGCAGTTTATTTTTATGCCATTGTGCTGTGAGCAGCACAAGCTACATCTAATGTATTTCTACTGTATTAGGATGAGAGCTGAAAGATATGTCCACACTTGAACAAAGATACTGCTGGAAGAAAGCAAAAAAATGGGCTGTTTTCTTTGGTAATTACAGTGAACTACCCTTTAACACCAAGACATCATAACATCCTCACTGAATCCAACACCTTACCTCAAGAGTTAAATACCTTGTATTTTTCATTGTGAGCATGTGTGGTGACATGCTCTTCTGCACAGATGGCGTCTCCATAAAACTCTTTACACAGCAGGCAGAAGAATCCTCTGATGGGCAGCAGGAACTCCGAACCTGCAGCAAAATACATACACCATCGTTTAAACCCACAGGTGGGGATAAAATAAACTGCCAATCATGTTTACCTGGTGGACGTCTCCATTGCCAGTCCCTATCAGGACAGGAGAAGGTTAGAGCAGTGACACCTGATTATAAAATATTTAAACAAATAGATGAGTTCAGTGGTCGTATTTCTCAGTAGAGACTTATGGAAAAGTGCAGTAACTGCTCAGTGATAACAGGGTTACTATGGCAAATGTAATAAAGTGAGCACAGCTTTTGAGATAATGAGTACCCTAACACACCTGAACTGAGATGTTAAAGCACTTTTCCAAAGGTTACTACAGCACGTAATATTTATTTGAGGATGAAATGAAAAACAAATGAATTGACATCAGAGGTGTCGACAGGAGTCTCCTCTGTGGTTCGATGAGTATCTTTGTTACTTCGTTAGCACTGTTTTCACTAAGAGACAGAGAAACTGCAGCAGAGATCCACAATGAGCTCCACCTGGAAGCAGAGGACGGCTAACAAAATTCAGTGGCTCAAACCACAACTATTGGCAAACAAAGCAGTATTACAATGACATTTCAGGGAAAAAGGTGAACATGTAGTACCTTTGGCGGGTTTCATCAGCTTCTCCTCTGACAGCGTGTTCTTGATGATTTTGGTAGGAGTGGAAGCCCAGGGCCGGTTGTACGGGTCCAGAGTCTGTGATATGAAAAGAAAAATTAAATTCATTAATTAAATTAAACCACCTCCTTCTAAAGCAAAAGCAAGGTCTCAGAGATTTTACCAACTGACCTTAAAAGAAAAAAAACCCTTTTTCTTTTAAGTTTCAGTTAGCTGACACATCTGGACAACAACATTAATAAAATTGGTGTAAGATACGAAGAAACATCTGCTGAACAAACCTTCCGGTGCAATTTGCTGTGCAAGTGCGTGAAAAAATCAAACATAGAACCAGATGTGATGTTACAGTTTTTGCACCAGTGGTTTCCAGCGTCATAGTATTCAAATGGCTCCAGGAGTGGTGTCGGGGCCGGGGTTGGAGTCGGAGCTGGAGTGCTGACTGGCGGCTTGTCAGGGGATGCCCTTGATGCCGAGGTCTGCTAAGAGACAAATATGGAGGAGAATCAACATGGCAGGCAGAGGATTACACAGTGAGGACTCACTCATTGAAACACTCCAGCTTTAAATCTCAGCTCCACAAAATCTGAAAATTAAAAGGTTTCTTACCTTCATCCAGTTCCAGTCTGGAATGCCTTGTGAGAATCCAGCTGTCGCGCTTTTTTATACCGATACCAGCATCGAACTCGCTTTAACGGTTAAGCTCAATTTGTTTTCAAAGCGTCAGAAAAACGAGCACGCTATGATCAATTAAATTCACCAGTTTAACTTATTTCTCTCACTACTTTGTCATGACTATTGGAACTGTAAAGTTAAATTGCTATCTGGGTTATTTTACAGAGCTACCTACGTTCAGACTGCATAACAAGATTAGACAGACAATCTTGTCAACTAAGGTTTACAATATTTAAAACATTTTATACATTTACCAAGACCTGAATTCTCTGTAAACTGAACAGACTGTGGTGGCAATCTTTTGCAAATAAAGGCAACAGTTGCAATCACCAAAAATCGTTTTTGAAAAGTTGGATAGAAAGAAGAAACTCATCCTCGACAGTGGACGATCCACATGTGATACTGTAACGCTGCTCTAGTGCTGGGTATTGAATTTCAATACTTTCATGGCATTCATCTTCAATATCATCGGGTATCGAAAAATGCCTTTCTACATTTCTATTTATTGATCTTAATGTTAACTAAACTTAAGGCTGTGGTAAATAGGTTTTATTTTTTGTCTTTTGGTTATGAAACCGCTTTGAGTGCACAAAAATGTTAAGGAATTGAAAAATAAAACTGAAAAAATGTATCGAAGTATGTAATGCATGTTTGTTTAAGCTGCTTTTATAAAACTGGTTTGGAAAAACATATTGTTTTTGAACCAGTATCAAAGTCAAGGTATTGGTACCAAAGGTTTTGGAATGATACCCAGCCCTACACAGCTCCTACTTAACTTTTTCTTTAAGTAACTGTGTTCACCGGTTAAACTCAACACTTCCTGCACAGACGTCCACATTAAAAGCCTTTCAGTAGTGCAATCCATCCCCTTCCTGACACACTCTGAATGTGACGTGTGTCCAGGAAGTAAGTTTTATTTACGGTACATTGGAAAAACAGCAAAGTAGAAGTGATAGAGTTAATTAATGTAGTGTTGCTGACAGAATTAGTGAAAACATTCCATCAGTCTGTAATTGTCTGTCTGGGCAGTTATTTCAGCTTTACTTTGACAATTAATGCATGTTACAGATGAAGGTTTAAATGTCAAAGCTGCCGGACACAGACTCGTTCACATCTTAGTACATGTCCGACTGCATGAAGGGAAACAAAGTGTTGGAAGACACCGCTGAGTGCGACACTACGACCTGTTTCAGCTAATGCTGAACTGATCACATCCACAGACAAACAGTTGAAAATAAATACAATACAACAAAAGCATCTGGTTCGGGTCAAATTAGTTTAAATGCATCATTAATGTAGCTGCGAGAGATAAACACCCTTGATCACAGCTGAGTACATGTCTAATTTGTTAAATCCATCACATTAATCAGCCAGTTCAGGATTAAGCTTCATCGGCTGTTTCCATCAGAAACCATGTCTGACAGCTGACCACGTCTCTATAAACCCAGCTAAACTAAATCAAATTAATTCTGTTCACAATATTCAATGCACATTTTAAAAAAAGAAAAAGAATTATTGAAAATAGGTTTTAAAAAGTTCTGAGAAATGCCAGAGTAGATGTAGTGCAATAAAGGCTGACAGTAAGGATCCCTAGCTTATGACATCTAACAGTAACTTTCAGTACAATTCCCTGTGTTACCTCCTCTGCAGGTGTTTGTACCTTTATTGTGGAGCTGCTGGACACCTGCCGACCCTCAGGGCTCCTCTCTGCCTCCCGTTTTTTCTTCTCTGGCGGTGGCTCGTCCTCCTGGTCCTCAGCCGGTTTGCTGGTTCTGCGGGATCGGGTGGATGGGCTCAGACCAAGGATGAGTGCCACCTTCTCAATTTCGCTACGTTTCTTCTCGGCAGCCTCGTGCTCCTTGCGGAGGTTGGAGATCTGAGTCATGACCTCCTCCTGGAGGTGGCTGATCTCATGTAGCAAAGGGTCTTTGTGGCCATCCTTCTCCCTGCGCTTCTTCCTCAGGAGCTCACCTGAAAACACAAGGCAGGAAAACACACAAGAAAACATTAAATTAACTCCTTAGGGTGTGATCTACAAACTTATTAAGAACATTTGCAGCTGACGAAATCACACAGGACGTCGAACAATAAAGTATAAAGCCGCATGACTGGTGAGCCAAAACAGTCAAAAAAAAAAAAAAAAAAAAAGAAAAAAAAAAAGAATTTATCAATATTCAGTTAACGATGATCCATCAGAACTGTTCTCTGGAATCACCTACAAGGAATAGGTATAATAAATTATCTTAAATACAATATCAATATCCCAGATAAATTTCCCTCCCAGTGCCTCAGACCTGGTGTGTCCACAGCAGTGTGAACAGACCAGACCACACCAGATAGAAACGATTCCTCTCCAACCTCCGACTGTGTGAGCGCTAACAGAACAGCCAGCTCAGAATCCATGTGGTCGTTTTAACATCTCCTCTTCTGCATATATGGCCTGTCGTCTTCATTTGGCGTCAGCCCCTCACAGACCATGTATCACACCGAGCTGTTGAAGGTTCAAGAGCTCATCTCTACTAAAATTACTCCCTGAAGGGTTGCAGAAACTTGACAAAAACCAACAACAAAAGCACACAGAACCACATAACTGAGGCAGCCATCCACAGCACCATCTGAACAAGGCATTTCTGAAACCAAGCACAAAGCACTATTATTTCTCTGTTATCTGAAATGAGGTGAACCACCTGAGTGAACTCACCTTGCTGCTTCCTGAGGCTCTCCAGCTCCTTCATCAGATATTCCTTCTTCTTCATCCTGATCTCTCTCTCCTGCTTCAGCTTCTCTCTCTCCTCCAGAACCTGAAGACAAAAAACAAGAGAACAGGCTCAATTCCTTTGACAACAGGACTGCTTTACCCTTTACTCCCCATGTATAACGGTTAATGTGTTTCCCTGTGAGATTTAGGAGCCGTGAAACCTTCTGTTTCTGGCTCTCGTTGTTCTGCTCCTCAGACACTCTCCTGTCATGGCTGCTGACTTTGGAACTTTCCTTCTCACCCTCCAGCACAAAGGTCTTCAATGAACCTGAGGATGGAGACACAACAAGACAGCATGAGTAATCATCCAGTCATTCACAGGGCTGAATGGCAATTTTTGGCCTCAGGATATTTCATGGTACTAATTGGTGGTGGTGGTGGTGGTGGTGTGTGTGTGTGTGTGGGGTGGGGGGATTACAGGGCTAAATGTCCAAATACTTGCAGTCTGGACTGTATGCTTTTATCTAAATATAGATTATTCTACAACCTGCGTGACCATCAGCTCCTGTTGTTTCCACCTCGATTTTGTTCTAATATCTCCACCCGCTCAATAAACTATGCCACCAAAGAGAAAAAAAAGCAAAATACCCTTTTAGTGAGTGACTGACCTTTGGCTCCCAGCTCAGGGGCTGGTTGGCTGTAGGGCTGTTTGTATGGCAGACTGGAGGGGAACTCCTCGGGGACGACTGGAGGAGGCAGGGTCATGTTGGGGGGTGGGTACATGGGCGGCCACTGCTGCTGCATGTAGGGCAAGTAGTTCCCATACTGGCCATAACCCGGTGGGGGATAATTGGGGGGCATCATGCTGTGGACCTGTGAGGGGGGGGAGG